ACATCTGATGGATTATACCAGTACAAAGTTATGCTTTTTGGTATGAAAAATGCTCCAGCAACCTTCCAAAGGTTGATTAACAATTTAATTTTAGGGTTACAAGGTTGTATTGCTTGCATCAATGATGTAATTGCTGTAGGTAACACTTGGGAAAAACATCTAGAAAATGCCCATGTCTTCGTTGACTATTGTACAAAGGCTAAGTTGACCCTCAATTTGACAAAAACTGAGTTTTTTCAAGCTCAGGTTCTGTTTTTGGGTCATAAGATAAGTCAAGGTCAGATTAAACCAGTACAGTCAAAGCACCAACAAATAAAAGAGAAATAAAGAGGTTTCTAGGTATGACCGGATTCTACCATAAGTTTTATCCACACTTCTCATCAGTTGCCGTTCCACTAACCAAAAAAAAGGACAAAGTTTTCCTGAACACTGGAAAGCCAGAGAACATTTGAAAGAATCAAATACTGGTAAGCAATCAAGTTTTGATGACTCCAGATTTTAATAGACCTTTCAAACTAGCTGTTGATGCTAATGATATTGATGCTGTAGCAGTTTTATTGCAAGAACACGAGACAACTGATCATCCAGGAAAGTTATTTTTCAAAAAAGTTTCACCAGCATCACCAATTTGCTGAAAGAAAGTACAAAGTTTTTTTGGACACCAGAAAGCATTTTAGAGAATCAAATCTATCTAGTGAGCACTCCAGTTTTGATGACTCTAGACTTCAATAAACCTTTCAAACTAGCCATTGATGCTAGTGAAATTGGTGCCAGGGCAGTTTTGTTGCAAAAGCATGATACAATTAATCATCTGGTATATTATTTTTCAAAAAAGTATGACCAGAATCACAAGAACTATTCCCCTGTTTAAAATAAAGCCCTTGCTCTTCTCATGGCCCTTCAGCATTTCAATGTATACATGTGTTCAACAGTCCATCCTGTTTAGGTGTTCACTGATCATAATCCCTTAGTTTTATCAACAAAATGAAGAATAACAATAATATTTGTTGAGATGGAGTTTTATTCTGCATAGGTATAATTTAGAAATTACATTAGAGGATCTGATAATGTAATTGCTGATGCTTTGTCAAGAAATAATTAAGATTTGTCTTTGGCTTATCTTTTACTGTAATGTATTGTTTTTGAAATATTTGGAGATATAAAGTTTGTATTTTGTTTTGTAAAGTTTTTCATTGTATTCAACAATTTTTTTAAGAGACGGAGTGTTATGACAGTGATTTGAAATTCGTATTTTAATTATCTCAGATAATATTATTTTGCTTAATTTTCACAATCCATTAACAATTTTCTGTGTACATAGTGATGATTTTGTTTGCTAATGTTTCTTGTGTGAATTTATATAAAGCAGCTTTACATGTCTAATTGGTAAATATTCTCAAACCTTGAGGAATTTTACAGGCCACAGTGTATATATATAATGTGTTTGACAGAGGAGAAAGGGAGGCTTTTCAATGTGTTATGAAGAAGTTAATCTATGCACCTCTTTCTTAAGCGACTGATTCTTGGATGTCCACTCCAGACAATTGACATTATGATTTAACCGACATTTAGACTTTTTCAGACAGAGCTATTTTACACTATCTAATTGTGGAAAATACCTAATTGAATTTTCTGGAACTATTAATCATTGGAAATAATTCCACCTGGACTTGTTTGGCCTCAAAAATACATAATTGTTCAGAAACTTTTGGATTATTGCCACGCTTGGAAATTCAGCTGGATTCATTCAACACTTATCAAGTCAATATTAGATCATTCATATAGGCCAGTATTTTTTGTTTTTGTATTTAGAATTATAGGATGTCATTTTAATTTCTATTTTTGAATTTTTTTTATGAAATTTGACAATGAAAATACAAAATATACATTCAGTTTTTGTTAGTTTTCTTTCACCTTTTCTGTTCGTGCATATATAATTAACAAGCATTGATCCAAGAGCAATTAAATGATATCACAAGTAGGAGCAAACATATGTTTTGGCAGCCATCATGAAACATTCAAGGATGCCAAAGTGTGAATAAGCACACCTAAATTGTATAAAATCAGTTACAAAACATTTGCTAGACACTAATTCCAAGTCTGACCCTATTGGCTATTGTTAAGATAAATAGCTTCAAAACTGTATTTGTATTACATATTCAACATCTGTAAAAGTGTTCGAATGTTAGCCTGATAGCATCAAGAGTTCACTTTAACATAACTGTAACCTGCAACCACCATAAATTCCTTAGAAAACCTTTTTTGACATGTTCTGCACTATTTTTCAAATGTTGTTTTACTAGCAAGACAATAATAAGTTGCCTGACATTTTGCAGGCTCTTAATTAGACACATGCTTTGCCCAATATGAACTTAAAATGGTCTCATTCCAAGATACTTATCACATAGCTTTCATAAGTTGGTCTTCCATTTGGCTAAGTATTTTGGGAGAAGCTCATTAAAATAGCTCTTGTGTCACTTTTGTATACCTAAATCCATTTAAAATATGTCTTGTTTAAAATTTTACAAGAGGTTCCTACTTTAGCAGCAATTGACTACTGTTCTTATTTCAGGTAAAAAGCTATTTAATTTCCTTTACTAATTCTAATTTGTCTCTGGTAGCTGGTCACAGAATTTCACATCCTTTGCTTCACTGATACAATTTTACACTATAAATATTACTTTTGGGGAAATTTTTTAAGTTTCATGGCTTGTTTGCTTTTATTATACTCGCTAAATAGAATAAATTTGTATTGTGACTTTCCGTAATGTAACTCCCATAAAGGTATCAATTATAGGCATCCTCTGCACATGAAAACATCACACTTCAACTTAACTACAACAAAAGGGTTATGGCTGTTAACCCTATCACGATGGGTGATGTGTCAAAGGCCATGTCATCGTATTTGTTGACTTGCATTCAAAATGTTATTGAACTGCTATTTTATGAATCTATGTCAATAAGTTTGGAATCAAACGGTAGATTATAATTCAAATTTTAGTATTATATGCTAGTTAATTTCTTAATTTAAAAGTAAATATTAAAAAAATACAGCTAAACATTGATATTTGTGTGACACATGGTATGTTGAATGCAGCACTGGTTCAAATTAGATGTTAAAATACAAAATCTACAGTTTTGTGCGAATTAGGAACTCAAATTACCAATATTGACAAGCTAGAATAAAAAATAAGAATATTTTATCATTTCTATTTGCTAAGATATCGCTCCTGCAGTGAATCAAACACAGTGGCCCTCCTCCCACCTCTTTCACTTTTTGGAAATGGTCCCTTATATGTATACACTTACTTCTTGTAGGCAGATTTTGTTAAACAAGACCGATGTTTGTAGGTTTACTTTCTTCTTAG